CAGGTGAATAAGTTTGTCTTAAGTGTCCTCCGTTTGCTCCTTGTGACCATTGGACTCCTCTTTGTGTTGCTCCTCCTCCTCATCATCCTCACCGAGTCAGACCTTGACATTGCATTTTTAACTGATATCCGCCAGACCCCCGAATTTGAGCAGTTCCATTACGAATACTTTTGTCCCCTCAGGCGGTGGTTTGCCTGCAAGCTCCGCTGGGTGGGCGGGTTGCTCATTAACAAGTGAGAGTGAGGTCGTAGAGTCCATAAACCTGTTCGGGGGTCTGACAAGACGGTTAGGACTCCGGAGTGATGGAGGGCAGCCTCGTCCCAACCATGAACCCTGCTTCTCTCATCCTCCTCCTGCAGACAGACATACAGCTTGGACCACTCCTGGTAACACCGGGCCAGGATCTCTCTCCCCCTCCTCCACTTTAAGTTGCCCTCACCCACTCAACCCCCTCCTCGTTTCGCTTACGTTGTTCTTTTTTCCTCTTTTTTTTTTTCTACAAAAGCCAGGACACCTTTTTTCTGCAATTTTTTTTAAAATTTTAAGCCATTTCAGGTATTTTATTTTTTCAAATAAAACAAAGGAAAAAAAATTAAAGAGAAAAGCAAAGAACTAAAGGATTTTAAACAGTTCCTTTTACCGGAACAGAAGATGGTTTTTTTTGTCGCAACAGATGAACGTTGCCTTCGTTTCTTATTTATTGCTTTTAAACACGATTAGCAGAAGGAGAAGGGGTCGTGAATGGTGATCAAGGAAGTAATAAATAGTAGTAAAAGATGGAAGTGAGTCACGTCAGAGTCAAAGGGCCTTCTGCTGTGAACCATACATGAGTCAAAGTGGTGTAATAGCGCTTAATATCGATTCATCCCCATCAGAAGTCGGCAGCAGATTAACCTCATTAGAAAAACAAAGCGGTTTGAAGGGAATAATAGTGAAGGCGTGTGGAATGGAAAACAGAAAGTGTGGTTAATGAGTTTTTTTTGGGAATATAGAAATTATCGATAGCTTAAGACACAGTTAGACTTCAGTATACATTTGTATACAAGGTTCGCAAGGTTATTTTCTAACACTTTATAAGGATACGGTGAAATAAGTACCAATACCTGTAGTGTTATTTTCCCAGTAGTGTCAGACGCGGTTAGAAAAACGCTCACAATGAGCAAAGATTCACTGGCACCAGTAGATGATAGTCTAGGTAGATGTGCAATGCTGACATGGTTTTAATAATTAAGAACTTTGAATGTGCTCGTTGGTTCAGTTCTTTTGTTATTTCTTCATTTTAATTTGATTTGCTTTTTTTTTTTTTTCATCACGTTGAAATTCGATGAATTTCAATGATTTCTTTGTATGAAGAATTCTTGATTTATTTTGGTTTCATATCAACCTTGCTCTGACTATATTATTATTATTGTTAGAATAAGAGTAATACTGTACTTTTTGTACAAATTAGTTTGTTTCCTAATATATATTGACACGTTTTCCATGTATATTTTAACAGAACTGAAATGTTATTTTGTTATTGAGATTAAATTATACCTTTTTTAGCGCTGTAAGGTCAGAAGCATTTATGGAAAGATGGAAGGAGGTCTGAAAAAGAAAAAAGAAAAAAGAACAAAAACAAAACAAAAAACAACAACAACAAAAAAAACAGGGCTTTTATCCAGATCCACTCAACACTAATCATGCCTCCCATCACTCCACCAGCAGAGTGTGTGCAACTTTAATGACCGTTTAGATTGAATTAAATCTGGAATGCCATTGTACCACCAATACTAAATAATTCAAAAACATATGTCCGACTTTCATAACTTTATCATATCTTATTTTACTTGAAGAATTTGGAGAGGTGACGGAGCCTGACTGACTGGATCTACGTTAAAGGGGACCTGTTTTTTGATATTTAAATATATATATATGCTGGATTCTCATATTTAAGATAGTTGAGTATACAAATGTGCAAATAATCCATGTGAGACAGAAGCTCAGACTTCAGGCTGCTGACAGTTTGATTTTTTTGTTTTGTTTTGTTTTGTTTTGGGGTTTTTTTTGGACCCTTGGACCTGCATGATGCCAGTAAGAGCGGATGTCCCTAATATGGTCATGTTTAGGCACACAGTGCTGGTTGTGTGCGCACATAACCACCACTCACCTGATGGAGTGGAGGAGCTGAAATAGCTCATTTCAGACAGAAGATAAGCTGAAGGGCTGCACTAAAGCACAGAATGAGGTAAATAATAATTATTTTAAGCTGTTTTTCATGCAAAGCTACTCTTAAGGATATAAAAGGTCCTCTTAAAAAAAAAACACACACAAAGTAATTTGACATTCTTAAAAATTTAACATTTAAAAAAAACTAGGAGGCTGTTTTGATAAAATGAATATTGCATAAAATTAGCTACTATTAATGCAATAATTATCTTTTCTCTGCATTTATAAATACAGTATCTGTTGGTCAGATTAAGGAAAACCGCACTGAAACAATAAATTAATCTAGAATTAACTAATGTGAAACCAGAAATCTCGACTTTGGTGGAGACAGACTGCATACAGGAATCTTTTCTTTATCTGGAGGTTTATATCAGATAACATCTGCTCCTTGATGTCTTGGTCAGGCTTGAGGCTCTTCCGTCTCACAGCTCAAGGGAGCAATAACTGTCGCGGCTGCTGGATTCTGGTTAAAATCGGGGGGGTTGTATTGCGTGTCTACCTGTATGTGTTAGTGTGTCATTATGTAGGAGTGGAAGCAAGATTCATGGTGATGGAGTGGAGGCTTGGACAGACTAAAGCAGAGGAGGAGAAGTGAGAGGGGTGACGAGAAAGAGATGTAGAGAAGTTCTGAAGGATTAATTACCATGTAAATTCGAAATTGAAGGCTGATCAACGGCTGTACAGGGTTAATGTTTTCTTTTCTTCTTTGTTTTCTTTTTTGGTTTTTTTACACACCCCCTCCTGCAGCTGCTCCACTAAAGGCTTGATGGTGCTACTTGATTTGTTTGCTCCTGTGTAATCTGAGCATATAAGTCCTCGGCTACGGCCTGACTGTAGACAGAGTAGCTTGCACGCTGGCATTGTGGCTGGATCCACTCCTTTGGCTAATTGTCTTTCACAGGCCATAGTTATCTCTGGTGGAGGTAACAGCACTGACATTTCTCAGCACAATGCTAAAAGGAAACATGGAATCAATACAGCAACACTAGCAAGAACGCTGTTGATGTAGGAGCTTATTTAAGTGAAGAAAAGAAAAAAAAGCACATTTTTTCCTACCAGGGGGTGGAGCGGGGCGGGTGGGTTGACTTTTTTTGTGTACTTTCATACTTCATATTTATTACTTTTTCACTGAGGTCAGTATGACCCTTTAGTCCAGCCAGGCTGCATTGTTGTAGACATCTTTTTTTAAAAGTGTTCCTTTTACATCTCTCAGCATTATGTAGCTTAAGCGGTCTCTCTGAACATGCAACAATTTTTTTTAAAAAAAGAAAAAAAGGCAGCATTATTCATGAAGCAATAAACAGCTGTAAGAGCAAAAAGTATGAAAAACATGTATACTAAGATCTAATGATGACTAATGTTTGATGAGCCAAATTTATTCGCCCAATTTGCTGTTGTGCTCACTTGAACAATGATGCTTGGACTCGAATGCTTAGACGCTCAGTTACCTTTGCAATCAGTAATCACAGTTTCTAAAATGGCATTTTCCTTAGAGACCTCTTGTGTGGATGTTTGTTCTGCTGTTTTCTGTTGTTTCACTGTTAAGCAAAACATTGCTCCCTGTGCCTGGATCCTCACTCTGCAGTTTACCAAAGTGGCAAAGATGAAGGAATGGAGACAGAGAGGCGCGACATCTCTTTCGGCTACAGACTTCTCCATCCTTAAATCTCCCAAACCAAGAGGGGGAAAACACTTTTCAGCTCTGTCTTAGACTCTAGTGTTCAACAGGCAGGCAAAACTCTTTGCAAGCTTGTTTCCTGTGACTAACCTGACATTACATTGCAGTTGCGGTGCCACGTTTCCATTTTCTGCAGTTACTTTACTTCATGGGAGATGACAGAAGCCATATCTGTCATTTATGGTTCATAAGGAAAATTGGCTTGTTTGTACTTTTTGAAAAAATATGTGGTTGCAGTGGAAGATGAAACATGAATTTTAGTAAAAGTAAAATACACGTGATGAGAATTAACCCAGTAACATAAGCTGCATGGATTTAAAATGCAATTTCATATGACAGCCAACCACCCGATTTCTGTAAACCTTTGATCGATTGTTATGAAGGCTGTAACAAAAAGATCTTAAGTTTCATGCCTGAGGTTGCTTTTTTTTCATTCTACTGGACTGCACTTTACTGTGACGTGTTATGTTGTCTACATATCTGAGTCATTATTAGCTAAAACAGCTAAAAAAATTAATTTAAAAAATAAATAAATCAGAATTTAAGAGTTCTGTTGCAATCACATAAACCAACTTACCTGACCACAATTAGGTGGTTTGTTCTTAACAGGCTTGATTTCCTCCCTGGCCAGAGCCCCTGTCACATTAATGTAAAAGGTGCTTTTCGCACCAAGGGTTTAATGAAACTAACCCAAGACAGCTTGCTCTGCTTTTTGCCCTTTGCTCGCTCCCAGTACAGACCTTCACACAACTGTGCATACACGTCAATGAGTGTATATGCATATCCATGTCTGGTGGCGTGTTCTCTAGTCTGCCTCATTCTATCCTCAGATCGCAGATTGCTGTTTAATTATGTTAAATATACAAGTATATATACATATATATATATATATCCATGTGCCAAATCCAGTTCTTGTTCAGTCTGATCCATTCCAAAACCAATGTTTGTACTGTAGGTAACCTTCTGTACAAGTCAGTATAAAATATTGTTTCTCTCCAATAGTCCCTTGTAACTGGTGCCATTAAATAAGACACTTCAAACTTGAAATAAATGTTAAAAACGGATGCAGCTGCTCGTGTGGTTTTGTGTAAAAACAAAACAAGTTACATCGATACTCATGAATAAAATTTTAATTTATTTTTATTATCAAATAAGATAAGCACAAAAGTGCAGGGAAGGATTCCAGCCACAGAAAGTAAAAATGTACAACAATATAAACATGCGATAACTGTACAGAAAATGCAGTTTTAGCTGGTCCAATATGAAGCAGCAGCTTGGTGGATTAGAAAATTAGCTTGCTAGTCTACAAAGTCAGATACGGGACGAAGGAGTCCTAGCTCAAGTGTGAAAATACTGGCTTTAAGAACGGACGCTGGCTGCTTTGAGGCATCGGGGCTGCCAGTAATCCTGGTCTCCTGGCTGCTGATGCATCACCTGCTGAGCTCCTGGACCCTCGACCTCCACCCCTGGAGCTGGAGGACGACCAGGATTTATTGCTGCTGTAGCCACGGCTAAATCCACAAAAATCACCACAGCAAGACAAAAGAAAGCAAAAAAGAAAAATAGTTCAGTTACAAGGGTGACGCCTATTGGCAAATATGATCCCCAACTGGATGATGAAATGTGAGACAACACTCTACAGACCCTTTAGAACCGGAGCTTGTGTTGCCACATCCTTTTTTCTTCTTGGAATACTTGAAGAACGGAGCCTTCTTTCTCTTCTGTCCCTGTGCAGACTTATTACGGAAGTAGGTGGAGGACTCCGTGTCATCCTCGTCATTTCCACGAGTGCGACCTCGTGCCGTGTCTATCCACCCGTCGCCTCCACTGTCAGCCTGCTCCTCTGATACACAGAAGACATTTAACTTTATTTTTAAATTCACACAAATTGTGTTAAATTTAAAATAATAAATAAAAAAAAACTACAGGCAACCACTAGTGCTAGTGGTCAGCCTCCTCATAGACATGCCAAAATCTTAGATGTCTTGATCACATTCACAAGATTTTAAGAAACCTTGACCTCTGACATTGAGGTCACAAATTTAAACTGGTCTGAGATTTTAAGTCGATACAATTTGATATAACTGGAAGCTCCTATGCCGCCTCATTTTCAAGTTATCTTATTCACAAACTCAGGTGAACATGCTGCCCACCGGCCTGTTAGGTTGACGACAGCACACCATCATGTGATCCAAAAAGTTACAATGTGCAAAACTTCAGTAGGATCTCTTACCAGGTAGCTGCCACTCAGAATATTTCTGTAGGACCTGAATGACTTCAGCTCCATACTTGTCCAGTTTATCTTCTGTTACACCATCAATTTGCAGGAGGACTTCAGGGTCAGAAGAAAGCTTTTCTGAATGTGACAAAAAGTGTGTTAAGTTATAAAATGTTTGCTTTTGAAATTAAATAAAAAGTTCTGTGTCTGAGAAGTTTAATTACCAGCTATCTTTTTCAATGTGGCAGTGGAGAAAATGTTGTAATAATGAAGGCCAAATGCTTTCCCCAGCTGCTTGCAGAGATCCAACAGCTCCTTAAGACACTCCTGCACCATCGCCTCTCTCCGGGAGACGTTCTTCGCCGTGGCAGCTTTATGTTTCCTGATGGTGGACGCGCTCTCAGTCTCATAAAACTCCACCTGGGAAATGATGAGAGCCAGTAGTGTTTTCATTGACTGGCAGCACTTCATTGCATTTTGCTACTCTACCTCTCTTCATGACACTTAAAACGATTGGTGTACAAAGGGCTTTAAAGTAAAAATGACACAAATTCCGATGTTTTAGCATATGAATTTCTAATACACACTGCAAGCAAATTAAAAAGCACCAAGAAAAACAATTGATAATTGATTTCATCATGCCTGTCAGGTCTGTAAAGGCCTTAAACGCTGATGTGCGACCTCTTACCTGCATGTGTCCAGACAGCACATTCATTGCTTTTGTTCCAGCGGAGATATAAGACACAGCTTGCCCAGCATTGGTGATGTAGAGGTCTTCAACCAGGACGTTATCCAGAACCAGCTTTTTAAAAAGACGGTCAGCATTGTGTCTGGAGTAGGCTGCTCCAATGCCAAACATTCCTGTCTGTACCTTGGCAGCTTTAGAGCCTGACATAAAAGAACATTTACAGTTTTTAACCACACATAATTCAAACAACTGTACTGGAATATCAACTTGTCTAGCTGCCAAATGCATTTTTACTGCTTGCTTGTGTATGTACTGTACCTATGAAGATATCCACAAGCATGTTGAGGGTCAGTCTGTTTTGGTTAGCAGTCTTGCCAAACCTTGCTCCGACTTTCTCACAGTTCTCCTGGACAAACCTCACGATCTTTTTCACGTCTTCAGTCACGTTTCGCATCTTGTATTGCTGTTTTTAGGAACATTGATGGCCAATTACAAACAGCTGGCGGTAGGTTACATATATCATCAACATAGAAGAAATGATTCCTACGTTGGGTTTGGTACAGTTGTCGCAGCTGACGTCTGGATGGTCCTTACAAAAGTTTCTGTTGAACTTCAGCTCTCCGAAGTAAGCGAGCAGCTGAATTCTTCTGCACTCCATCACGTTCTCACAGAAGTGCACCATGCTGTGTAGGTTGTTGTAGTGAGTTGCCTTGGTGTGTCTGTCACCTTCTCTGTCCACTGCGATAATGCAAGAAGCCAAAAAGACACTGTGTAAACATGTCAGGAGCTGAACTGGCCTGGACGGTTTGATTTTCTATCACTTACTGCTGATAATCCTCTTGATGCGCTGGACGTCGGTGTAGGAGTAAAAGAGAATGCAGTGAGAGATCTCTCCATCCCTGCCAGCTCTCCCTGACTCCTGGTAGTATCCTTCCATTGATTTAGGCAGACTAGCGTGGATCACATAGCGCACATCAGGCTTGTCAATGCCCATGCCAAAGGCTATGGTGGCACAGATGACCTGTTGGCAGCAAATGAAAAAAAGAGGATTTCAAGCATGACTCGAAACCATGATTTAAATTACGCAACCATCTTGTGATCTCGTCTTTGTGGCCGGTACCCAGACTGCTGGTTATGTTCATAATATCTATAATTTGAGTTTTGAGCTGACCTGGCAACCATCCTGATTGATCCATTTGGTCTGCACATACTCTCGGTCACTGTCACTGAGTCCTGCGTGATACGACAGGGCTGATAACCCTGCTCTCTGAAGACTCTCGGCCATGGCATCACAGTCATTACGAGACAGGCAGTACACGATGCCAGAGTCACCTGCATCAGAACAACAGACAGATGCATATAACCCCCGACAAAACACAGATTTAAAAGAACTTAGGGATTTCACTTCTATCCAAAATAACATCCAACAACTTGATATAATAAAATTCTACACAGTAATCCACTTGGCTTGTTGTCTGCAAACTGTTTTGATTTCCCACCTACTGTTCCAGACATGTGAGGGCTTAAAGTGTTCATATACAGTTAAAAATTTAACACAGCAGTTATGACAGTGTTCTGAAAATAGCATGCACCGGGATCAGAGAAAGTACTGAATTATTTACGTGGGTAGTGCTTCTTGATCCAGCTGGTGCAGTCCTCATCCACCTTTTTGGGTTTCTTGGGCAGCACTGAGTACTTCAGGTTTGTTCTGTTGAAGCTCATCGTAAACCTGAAAACACATT